TGGACTTAATGCCCTTTTTACGTGGTAGAGCCATGCTGCATCTATATTAATTATATAGTTGTAGCACGAATGGGTCGGCTCGACAGGGTAAGGACCACGCTCTCACAGAATAGCAGCGTCAAATAGCAGCTTAATGCTGCTGTATTTCGTATGATGAGTGTAGAGAACCGGAGACCCTTTTTAATGGAAAAGAAGCATTCCATCTTAGTCCTCAAGGTTGACAACGCATCTGAATTTTGATTCGCAAACAAGGATAGATGTATATGTCTATGGGCCACAGCAACCACTTACTATCAGGTGGGCTGTGTGCCCGCTTGTCACCCTATTCCTTTAAGAAAAAAATAATCTTCTCCCAGTCCACACCGGGTGTGGTGAAAAATGTGGCGAAGTTTCAGCCGATAACTATGCCACTGAGCACTGGTCTCTTTTAATCATTCAAACGATATTGGAGCAGTTAAGTACTGTGATGACGGACTTAATGCCATAGGACATTCTCTCCCAGTCAACCATTACGCATTATATATATATATATATATATATATATATATATATATATATATATATATATACTGAGACGTTTAGTACATTTTTAGTAAACTACTATTTTACTTCGTAATTTTGTCACTTCTGTGGACTAGGATCTCATAATTTAATTAAAAGGTAATTATCCTGGTTTCTTATACATTCTTCAGAATGGAACATACTCGTAGCAGTGCAGGAACTGTTACCTAACGGCAGAAATAGTGCATATAATCTATCCAGACGTTTTACTCGGCAAAAAGGAGTTATACTAATAATAATAATGTTATCTGGACCGAATTTTGGTCCACTCTCTATTCCCTCACTCATAATAGGATGGGATGGTAAATCGACATGACCGGAGAGAGATCAGGCGCAGGACCAACGGCTTTACGTGCTTTCCGAGGCACGGTGGTGAGACACCGCCAACTTCCTGACTCTGGACATACTGAGAATTGCTTGACGGAAAACTCAATAAATGCTTTTTTGGCCCGATCCGGCATTTGAACCCAGGACCTCATAATCAATAGTCGCACTACTGCAACCACTAGATCAACAAGGCAGTCAGGAGTTGTATTATCCACATATTTATATGCATGTCAGTACGTCGCTGTGCGATTTTCCAGAATTTTTCTGCCTCACTCAACTACTGGTGATAGTAGATTGCAGTAATCTACTATCACCACAGTTATTTTTTTACACCATTTTAACTTAGGAAACTTGAAAAAAATCCTTACTCCTACCTTTAATGCCGGCACCTATCATTCCTCTGGAGTTATGGAAGTTGATTGGCGGCGGTGCTCACGTACGATGAGATGGGCCATCAGATAAATTTATTATTTCTAATGAGCCATAACATTTATCAGTGTTCATGGTTTCATTAAGGTCGTGTAATAAATAAATACAACACATCCTTTATTAATGATCTCAAGCTTAAATTAGTCACCGAGCATTAGAAAAATCCCCTGAGGCAAATATAATATCGTCGCAAAGAGATTAAACATAACTTTTTTGTTTTCCTCTCATAAAATGTATCCGAAACCGGCAATATGAAATTTAAACGTAAACTAACACCGTTAACTCTTTTATGATGTGAGAAGCTAGATTATGAGAACCATACTTAAATTTACACAATATCGCTGAGACATGTAACGTTATGTATAAGTTGGATGAAATTCTCATTTTGTATATTGAACTTTTTTTCTTGGGATTATAGTGTGTATTATATAGTGGACGCCACTATATAGATTATATAGTGGCGTCACCAAGCTTCAGTGGGTAAACTTAGCAAACTAAGTTGTGCAACATATGTCGTAAAAGTATTATATTAGAAGAAAAATATATTTACGCATTGATGTAGGTACATTCTAATACCCAGTGTCTTCCTAATAAGGACTAAAAAATAAAAAGAGACTGTGGTTGCCATACGTGGCAACTATGGCAAATATCTCCCCTATGAGACAATCCGTGGGGGAGGCATATTTTCAGCAGTGCACTTAAACAAGCTGTAACGGTAACGGTACATTCTAATTCTATATCTCTACTAAGGTACGTGAAGGTAATACGGCCACCTTAAGCTTTGCAATAGGCCTTAAGCTTAGCAAAAGCTTTGCATAAAACCAAAATTAGGAGGACAGAGACAAAAATACAAAGTCGTATACTATTAATAATATATTAAGAAAAAATAGCAAACAAGCTTTGATAATAAATAAGAACATTTTGAAAAATCTAACTACACTACATCATACTAAATGCGACTGAAATATTCACTATAATGTCAACGGTTAAAATGGTGTCGATAAAGCAGCGCCCTATTGACCCTTCATTATTTGATTGACCGATGAAGAGCTATCGCATCACAAAGCCATCTATGAAAAAAAGCTGTAGTTTTCGAGTTATAAGAAAGTGATCGTATTAACCGGATGACCATATTACCGCCACGTACTATAATATATAAGTTACAAGCACAAACTGGTTTTACCAGTTACTCAAATATAAGGAGTCGATTATTCCTTAATGGGGCAGTGTATTCGTCTTATCAACAAAGTCCTAAAAATATGCGGGACCAATCTATCAAAAAAGTTTTTTAATGGTTATTACGCTACATGATTTATTATATTTAATCATAAAACATAATTGCAAATGAATGTTTGATAAAAGTACCGCTGGGTTTTTACTGGTTTTACCCAGAACAGGTTTTTCCGAATCTGTGGTAATAACATTAATAACATAATAATAAACTTCACTAAGTATTATTGTAATCCCTATTTAATTAAAATTATTCAGGATTTATTTAGGCTGTGTGTGCAAAACCAATTCTTATTTACGGATGTCACTGCCATACCCAGCAACATTTTCTGTTCCGTCTGTCTCATAATTTCGCTCTTTTTGTATGTCTTTATATTATAATAATAAACAATATTTCTTCGCTACGTTCACTGCTACTTATGGTGAAGGCTTAACATAAACTTTTAGTAAAATGATCATGTTTTTCACGAGGTATAACCTGCAAAACCATATTATGGCTTTAGAATAAATGGCTCGGCTCAACTAAAAAAAAAACCACACAGAATATCAGCGTTATGTTGATGTATTTCGTATGGTTAGTGTGAGTAGCGAGAGGCGGATATCTGTTTTTATAGCTTAAGAGTGAAAAACAGCACACAGTTCATTTGTTAATAAGTGAATACTGTGGCCCATAAACATCTAGATCTACTGTCGATTAACAATCAAAATGCAAAAGCGTTGTTATCCCTAAGCACTATGATGGTATGCGTTATTTCTATTAAACGGGGGAGAAACTTTTTTCTAAAAACGAATTATTACATCCGGAATCTACGAGAAGTGGCTCTCTAGTTCCTATTATAAAAAAGTTTCTCCCCCTTTTCAACATATGAAATACAGCTGCATTAAGCTGCTATTATAGTGAGAGCGTGGTCTTTCCCCGGGTAAGCCGACACATTTGTGCTATAACTATGTATATTAACAATATATTCCATGTTTGTCCTCAAGGATGACAACGGACGTGCATCATGTACGTCATACGTGTCTATGAGTACGTGTGTGCTCTTTTGTAGCCTTTATTTTATAAATAAGAAAATAGAATAGGTTAAATTTTATTAAAAACAAAATATTTGTACACTATTATTTTTATAAGATATGGGTGACAAAGAACACACAGTCCACACAAACATCAAAACACACAAACATCTACATTTATCCTCGATTAAGAATTAAAATACAGATATATGTCATCCCTGAGAACTAAAATGGAATGCTTCGTTTCCAGGAAAAAGGGTCTATGGTTCTCTACACTCACCATACAAAACATAGAAGTTTTAAGCTGCTATTTTACGCTGGTATTATGTGAGAGCGTGGTCCTTCTCCGGTTGAGCCGACCAATTCGTGCTACAACTGCAGCAGGTACCGCAGGTTAGGTAGGTTGGTAGGTAGGTAGGTACCGCAGGTACCCATGTTCGGCCGCACATGGAATACTGTTACCATCTCTGGGCTGGGGCTCCCCAGTACCAGCTTCTTCCACTTGACCGCATCCAGCGCAGAGCGGCTCGAATCGTCGACGACCGAGTGCTTTCCGATCGGCTCGATTCACTGGCGCTGCGAAGAGATGTTGCATCTCTTTGCGTATTTTATCGCATCTATCACGGGGAGTGCTCTGAGGAATTGTTCGGATTAATCCCAGCCGCCAAATTTCATGAACGCACTACACGGCAAACGTCCGATACCATCCACACCATCTGGATGCTTGGCGGTCCACCACTGTACGTTTCAAAAGGAGTTTTCTTCCGCGTACAACCTCTCTGTGGTATAATTTACCACCGGTGATTTTTCCGGACCGATACGACCTGGGGACCTTCAAGAAAAGAGCTTACTCCTTTCTAAAGGGCCGGCAACGCACCTGCAATTCCCCTGGTGTTGCGGTTGATCATGGGCGGCGGTAGTCACTTAACATCAGTGCCCCCTCTTCTATAAAAAAAAAGAAAAGCATGGCTCCATTCTTTTATAGTTACTTTTATTTTATAGTTTAAAATGATTTAAATAGTCTAAAATCTTTTTTTTTTTTAATTTAATATTACCATATAAATAACTTGCGAATCTTGAGAATCGATTCTAGAGACGTACATTCAATATTTGCTAGTAAGCTGCAGTGTTGGCTATGACACTAAATAATCACACCAGTCGTGCGGGCAAGGCCACTTAGATATCGAGTTGGGTTGTGTGCTAAGATGCCTCAAGTTAACAGGTGATAGCAACGTTGGTCATTTAGAGTCCACCATCCACATACGGCGTTCGCAGGCGCAACGCAATGCAAAAACGCGCGTGTTCGAAATTTAAAGCTAATAGTGTAGTTTAAATTGGTGCTAGTGAATTTTTAAATTAGTGTACTTTTTTATCTGTGATTGTCTACTTCAAATTTAAAATAAAAAAAGGTTGTGAACAGATTATTTTTATTTTGGATATTTATGAAGTGAGTATTATTTTTCATTTTATTATTTGTATTAATAAAAGTGTGATACATTTACAAATTTTGTTTTATAAAAATTAAACTATTCGAAAATAATCATACAAAATCAAAAGCCGTTAAAACGTTAATCCCGATATTATTATTTAAATTTTTATTTCAAATTAGGACAAGTTACTATCTCTTTAATTTCAAATTATTATGTTTAGGAGGTGAAATGTACGTGCAAGCTTCTATTAAATAAAAACTATTAAAATTTATAAAATACTATTATTTCACTATCAATGAAATCACAATAACCTTTTTAAATAAATGTTAATAAAAATATTCAATTTCAGTATTATATATTATCTCTAAACACATAACGTCAACTTATTTAAAAATTATTCTTAATTTGAATTTTATGTTAAAGATTTATTTTTTGTTTAACTTAAATACGTTTGTGATACAACTCTCACTTATTCTTGGTATCTGTTTTGCATAATAACTTAGTTTGTATTATAACATAGCCTGCTTAGCGTACGTACGTACGTTACATTAGTAAATTTTATTAGCAAATAGGGTTGTCAACCTGTTAAAGAAATATCATTATTTCTATAAAAATCTTTTGCCGTTTTTTTAATAAGATAAGGGTGACAAACAAGCACACAGTCCACCTGATGATTAGTGGACGCTGTGACTCATAGACATCCACATTTATCCTCAATTAAGAATCAAAATGCAAATGCGTTGTTACCTCTGAGGACTAAGATGGAATGCCTCAATTCCAGTAAAACGTGTCTCCGGTTCTCTACACTCACCATACGAAACACAGCAGCAATTTTACGCTGGTATTCTGTAAGCGCGTGGTCCTTCCCGGTCGAGCCGTCTACTAATAGCCGACTACTAATATAACTGCAGTATGGCTCTACCACGTATTCATTCCTAGATGGTTTATAACACAATTGAACTTTGAATTGGTATTGAAGCCGGTAGGTGGTGCTGTTGTAGAGATCCGGTAATCACCCGTGCAAAGCCGGGGTGGTAGTATTAGTTTAAAATATATATTAGGAAAACTGATACAGGAGACGGGCAGCAGCATATTCAAAATACAAAAATAAATATTTACAAAAAAGTATGCGGTTGCCATTCACCTACCAAGTATATTAACTATGAAAAACCCCAAAGCAACCCCCAAAATTGCCTCAAGAGGAAATTTTTTCTATGTTCAAAAGTAGACTTCAAAAGCTGTAAGGATGGAAATGTTTATATTATATAAATACATTCAATTTGCCAAATTATAATTTGTATGGTATGAGGAAATGAAATTTTATCTTGACAAAAATATTTAATAAATAGCCACAGTAAAGAAATACAGAATAAATAAAAATCCGCATCTTTCAAATCAAATAAATATGATTATGTTAAATAAAACTTAAACGGATGTAAAATAAAATTAAATATCACCCTTAATGGCGTGAACATCAAACGTGTGACTGAGTTTAAATATCTGGGGCATGTCATCACTAGCAGCCTCAAAGACGATGGTGATATTGAAAGGGAGATTCTCAGAGAAGAACTCGAAAACGCGGTTAGAAAAGACCGGAGATTTTCTCGTTGTACAGAAGAGGTTAAAGTGACGCTATTTAAGGCATACTGCCAAAGCATGTACACGGGAAATCTGTGGGTCAAACATACCAAGAAATCGCTAGACACTCTTCGAATCCAGTATAATAATGTCTTCAAGATGGTGTTGGGCCTGCCGCGGTTTTGCAGTGCATTGGGAATGTTTGCGGAATACCAAACTGATGGCTTCGATGCCATCATTCGTAAAAATACGAACTCCCTGATTAGCAGAGTGAGGAACAGTTCCAGTCCAGTTCAGCATCCTGAAGACATTAGCAAACTGATTTACTTCTCCAATTTGGAAATGCTTTGTGCGAAGAGTGACGATCACGGGAACATACCCTTTCCCCTGATGGTCACTCATAATAACAAATATAACGGTAGGTAATTAATTTATTATTATTATTGTAATGCGCATAATTTTCCATCCCAATTAATTAAATACTAACATATTTTGTAAGCCATTTTACTAACACAATATGGATGTACAAGTTGTCCGAAATAAATGATATTATTATTATTATTATTATTATTATTAAAACTTAAACCATAAACAGTAACAGAACTCAACAGCCGTTGATAAATCTAATGGGATTTTGTACGTTTCCCACTCTTCCATATTTTATATCATGCTCCACGATATGATATAATTTACATGACTTCGAAATATTTTTTGGTACTTACTATATAAGCGGTTTCCTGATATTTTCCGTTAGCGCCAAACAAGTGAATTTGTATTTAGTTGCTTGATATGAAATTAAAAATTCCAATAATTTATTTATTTATCACACCAATAAAACGAATAAATATAGTAAGCTATATTTTTAAACATCGTGACCTATAATTAAAAAAAATCAATCGTAGGTACTCGATGCTGCTGCAGTTAGTAGAATTTATTGCAGAGTTGTAGGAATTGGAGCTTTTTCAGATTTGTAAAGCACTTCGCAGTGCAGCGCTCAAAACAAATTTGTTTTGAATTTACCTGTAATAAAATTGTAAATAAATATTTTAGCTGAAATTTCCGATAAATCCAAACTAATATTTTTCAGTCTCTATTTATCACTAATGTTTTTTTTGTGTTAAAAATTGAGTCGATCCAAAACGGTCAAAAATTCAAAATGTTAAGTTTAATCTTGAATGCACAAAAGGTGTGTGACATCTGATAATGCTATTACCATAATGTTTTATAGTTTTTGTCGCATTGCGATAGCTACTTTGCCTACCAAACATTGCGTTAACAACAAATTCTACGATATACGATATACGTGCATGTTTTAGAAATAAAACATGAGGAAATCCAACCTCTCACTCGCATACAGGTACTGCAGGCTTCCTTCATACTCCTAAAAACGACCACGCAAATGAAGAAAGGCCTGTGCCGAATAAAGCAAATAATTTTATTGTACCATATTTCAGTACTTTGTTAGCCCTGCTGGTGAATGCAATCCGGTTTTGTTCAAACGTTGCCTAACTTTATGTTATTAGATGCACCTTGACCTCTCTTCTCTTTACTTGTGTACTTGTAAAATATTATCAACAAAACTCATCGTCAATAGATACATTAGAATTTGTAATTTCATATATATTTTTATATTGAAAAATATTTACAAGAAAATTAACAATAAGTGATTAAGTACTAGCGGTAGGTATACCGTGTTGCAGCGGTGCGAAGAAATCCTTTACCTCATATCGACCCGTGGATGTTGTAAGAGGAGATAGAGAAACTGAAATCCATCCCTGATTCAGTTTCTCTGTCTTCTCTTACAGATGGAAAGCAGTATCTTCCTTAAAGCAACTCAAAATAATATAGACTGTAGTTGCCGACCCGCTTGCCAAGCATGGCTACTTTGACAAAATTTATGGGAGAGGCCTATATTCAGTAGAGGATATTTTATAAGCTGTAATGGATATATTAATGGAGTAGATATATCACAAGTCCATAACATAGGACTATACATTGTGCTACACACAGTATTTTAGTAATCAGACTGACCACCCCATAAATATGTACAATAATGGGTATGGGTCTCCGGCAGCTTCCTTATAAAAGCAATCATTACGTGAACATCCTCCATCTATACAAACACACACTGCATCGTCGGAAGAACACGTTCAATAAATTTTTGACTCATTTTCCAATTATATTGTTAATGTTATTTATCTTTATTATCATAATATAATCTAACCAAGTCGTTCAAAATTATTAAACGAATCATAATGGTTATTATTTTAAACATAAAAATTAACTGGAAAAGTGTGCATATAGCATTTGATTGGCACACATGAATTAAAACTATTATAATTTGTTCAGTATTATTTTGAGTAAAATGAATAGTTGGGCGTAATCTATTTCCGAACATTATGCCTGAGATGAAATAGATGTTCTCTCTGGTGCTTTGGACCACGGCGTCATCCAAAACTAGTAAAATGTTTTTTTTTTAAATAGGATAGGGTGATAAACGAGCATATAGTCCACCTGATGGTAAATGGTTGCTGCGGCCCATAGACACCTACATCTATCCTCGATTACGAATCAAAATGCAGGTGTGTTATCACCCGTGAGGACTAAGATGGAATGCCTCGTTTCCAGTAAAAAGGGTCTCCGGTTCTCTTCACTCACCATACGAAACACAACATCATTAAGCTACTATTTTATGCTGGTATACTGCGAGAGCGTGGGCCTTTCCCGGTCGAGCCGATCCATTCGTGTTACAACTATACCAATAATATAACTGCAGCATGGCCCTGCCGCGTGGTATTACGGGGCATTAAATAATTGTGCCATACCATTCATACATTCTAACTTACCCGTATTTGTAACCTATGTTACGTTTACCAAATAATACGCAATGACAGGAATACTTTCAAAAAAATCCTAGGTTTTCCGAATTTCGCTAACAACCCCCCAATAACACGTGACGATATGATACTATTGGCAAACTTTTGCGAGAGAATAATTTATTGCTGTGAGATTTGAAATCCCGTTCGTTTATAGAGTTATACAATTTCTACAGCGGGTCGTCATGTAGCCGTCTTCTACGTTATCTAAAATACTCCGTCAGTCGAGTGTAAAAATAGTTTATCAAATATATCTTATATCTATCTTTAACTTAAAAGGCGTCGCTGTTCTGAGCTTGCATCCTTGCATAATATAACAAAACACATATATCAACTTCACCATATGTTCCACATACTATATTTATATTCGTACTTTAAGAACTATGTTAAGTTACGAATATAAATATCCAACGTTGACTCGACAGCATCTGTATAAGGTACGAAATTTGTGACTGGTATACATACATTACACAGAAAAACTTTAAGCACTAAACCTACTTAAGACAACATTGTAGTACTTTTTAATTTTTTAACCACTCCGTACATCTACTTAAATGTAATTA